TATTTTATTTTTTTGAGATGGAGTTTTCCTCTGTTACCAGGCTGGAATACGGTGACGCGATCTCAGCTCACTGCAACCTCCACCTCCCAGGTTCAAGCAATTCTCCTGCCTCAGCCTTCGAAGTAGATGGGATTACAGGTGCGCATCACCGTGCCTGGCTATTGTTTTGCATTTTTAGTACACATGGGGTTTCACCATGTTGGCCAGGCTGGTCTCAAACTCCTGACCTCAAGTGATCCACCTGCCTCGGCCTCCCAAAGTGCTGGGATTACAGGCGTGAGCCACTGTGCCCAGCCAATTCTGCATGATTTTTCTTGACTAGTATAGCAGGTCTAAACATGCGTGGGTCTCTACAGCTCTCTCTTTGGAAATAAGGGATGAAGGTCTGTAATCTTTAGAACGTAACAGAATTTATCATCAAGTCTCATGTGAGCTGAGCATGAGCTATAATTCCTTTTACTGACTTATTTGAAACATGGCTCTTCTCTCAAGCCCTCAAGGTGCCACAAACTGTCAGATCCAATTCCAGGCAGACGCGCCTTGACTGCAAGCTCTCTAGGACTCTTTCCTGACCCCACATTCCCTACATTCACAGTCTCCTGTCTCCTCTGCCTTTCACCCTTGCTTCAGTTCAACCTGCACATTTCTTGAGCACCACCATCGGCAATCCTTCCCCAGACGCTGCAGATGGAGGAAAGAGCAAGTCCTCACTCCGGTGGGGCTTCACGTTTAAACCGGAGCTGGAGCTATGCGCAGGTGGTTCCAGGCTCCGTGTGAGTGATGTGACAGACACTGGGTGCCATCAGGGCTCCAAAATTCGGAAGAGGTGAAACCCAAATTGAGTCTGTGGCCTCCATGTGGAAAGGGTACCAATGGGCGCAGGAGGTGAGTGGTAGTTACTTGAAATGACTAGTGTTACTTTGGGGTGAAAGGAAATACAATATTTAACATTGTTCTATGTGCTTTTCTGAATTTCATTTGAAAACAAGCAAAGAAAAAAAAGTGGTACCAAAGAATGGTTTAGCAGAAATTATGGCACATACAGACCCAGCCCCAGGGAAGGGGCAGTGGCCATCTCGATCACAAAGGCAACAGGTCCTACTGCAGGTTTCACACAGACCGCAGGGCTGGGCTGCCTCAAAGGGGTCTTGGATGAATGGAACTGAGTGTTCAACAGACCTTTCAATCAAAACATCCCAACAACAATGGCGCAGTGTGGCGTTCTCTAGGCTACAGGCACACTTACCACCATGACACTAGTAGGGGGAGGGGAATGCTAGAACTCACACATTTGGGGACAAATTCACAATGTGGGTGGGGGGTGCTTCCCAATTGTTTTTTGCCTCTTGTGGTACCCCTTCAATATAGTTCAGTGAAGATATTCAAAACACACAACAGAAACACAAGCGCACAGGAGAAGAAAAACCTCACACAGCTGGAGTGGACTGCAGCACTGGAGAGGGAGGAAAACCTGTGTGGCCCTCCCTGGGGGGGTCTCCATGCTCCTGACCCTCTCTAACAGTTCGTCCCCGAGCTTCAGAAAGGATTAGGGGACTGGTCAGTCTTAAAGAGAAGCAGTGAGAAATAAACTCAGATTAAATTCCTTACAAATATAAATGTTACAGCTTAAAGGAAGATCTCAGGTTAATCATGGCTAAAGCATAATGCTTTTACAAAATCCCTTTAACGCAAGATAATCCCTCAGTAAGAAAACAAGAGATGTAAGGTCTCAAGAGAGGAAAACCTGGCTGGGTAATCTTACAGCCACCACTTGATTCCCTCCACAGCAAAACAAAGTGTGACGCTTACAAGGCACCCACCCTGCAACTCAACCCCGTTCAGATGAATGGCAAACGTGCAACTTCTGGTGGACCTCAAGCAGAAGCTTCCAGTGATATCTCATCATTCCAGTTCAGACCAGCTTTCCTTCCTCACCATCCTAAAAGGAAGATCTTCCTCCCTTTCCCAACATCCTGTCCAGAAACGAATCCCCCAAAGTAGTGTGAATATGACTTTAGCATGGCACCTCTGCAGCTAACTTCTGGAGTGTGAAAGTCAACGTAAAAACATCGGTGTCACTCAGGGTGATAATAAACACCATTATTTACTGGGCAGCCAGTGCCAGGCGGCACAAACAAAAAGAAACGTACTAAATGCACACAACTGGGACAGGGCTGGGGATTCAGTTTCTCATGCCACTGGTGTGGGTAGTGCAAAACCCTGGCCATCAGGAACCAGAAACCAGAAACCAGATTCGCTCTGAGCACTACAGTGTAAACTTCTGGTCCCACATTGGTGCAGACCTAGGTGTGAGAAATTATCACCGTTACATGGATTAAGGGCTGTTTTTTTTGAGACAGAGTCTCACTCTGTCATCCAGGCTGGAGTCCAGTGGCGTGATCTTGGCTCACTGTAAGCTCCGTCCCCCGGGTTCACACCATTCTCCTGCCTCAGCCTCCCAAGTAGCTGGGACTACAGGCGCCCACCACCACAACCGGCTAATTTTTTTGTATTTTTAATAGAGACGGGGTTTCACCGCGTTAGCCAGGATGGTCTCGATCTCCTGACCTCGTGATCTGCCCGTCTCGGCCTCCCAAAGTGCTGGGATTACAGGCGTGAGCTACCGCGCCCAGCCAGGGCTAATTATTTGGTTACGAGTATTACTGAATACTGACCTAACTCCCTCAAATCTAAAGGTTTTTTTTGGTTTTTTTTTTTTGTTTGTTTGTTTGTTTTGAGATGGAGTCTTGCTCTGTCGCCCAGACTGGAGTGCAGTGGCATGATCTTGGCTCACTGCCACCTCTGTCTCTGGGTTCAAGTGATTCTCCTGCCTCAGCCTCTCCAAGTAGCTGGGACTACAGGCACACGCCACCATGTCCGGCTCATCTTTGTATTTTTAGTAGAGATGGGGTTTCACCATGTTGGCTAGGCTGGTCTCAAACTCTCAACCTAAGGTGATCGCCCACCTCGGCCTCCCAAAGTGCTGGGATTACAGGCGTGATTCACCGCGCTCGGCCAATCTAAAGGGTTTTTAATTTTAGCAAGTTGGAGCAATTCTTTTATTTAGCATTTATTCGATATAGTATTTGTCTTCACTTGATCTTAGCCAAAAGACCGAGAAGCAACATAGTATTTGTCTTAACCGTCACGGCACCCACATTCTCTTCCACTTCTCTGGCGAGGCTGTGCCACAGAGGGGCTCATCATACAGAAAGCCTCAGGCATCTGAAGACCCAAACTTCACAACGCAAGCTCACTGCTCAAGTGGACGAAAGACCCTGTAAGCTCTGCCACTCTAATTTATGTGAGTCCCAGTACCCAAGGAGTGCTTTAAAAGTTCAAAAACACAAGAAAAGTGTGCTGAGCGTTCCTGGCTATTAAACATGAGTCAGGAAATCTTTGTCCCAACCCACTTCTTCCTACAGTGAAGCCCAGGAGCGCCATCCACCTTCCCAGGTTGAAGATTAAAGGAGATAGGACTGACTTCCCCAGACACCCTGGCACTTTCCAAAGGAAGTGGACTCACATGAACTAGTGGAAGCACGGCCACGGGCATGGCACAGCCACACACACACACCAGGGACACGGGCAGGGCACAGCCACACACACACCAGGGACACGGGCAGGGCACAGCCACACACACACCAGGGACACGGGCATGGCACAGCCACACACACCAGGGGACACGGGCAGGGCACAGGCCACACACACCAGGGACACGGGCATGGCACAGCCACACACACACACACCAGGGACACGGGCAGGGCACAGGCCACACACACACCAGGGACACGGGCATGGCACAGCCACACACACACACCAGGGACACGGGCAGGGCACAGGCCACACACACACCAGGGACACGGGCAGGGCACAGGCCACACACACACCAGGGACACGGGCAGGGGCACAGCTACACACACACACCAGGGACACGGGCAGGGCACAGGCCACACACACACCAGGGACACGGGCAGGGCACAGGCCACACACACACACCAGGGACACGGGCAGGGCACAGCCACACACACACACGAGAGGGCACCGCCAGACACACCCCACAAACACACCGCCGACAGGCCACACACACACGAAGGGGGGCACCGCCAGACACACCCCACAAACACACCGCCGCACACCCCTTAGGGACACCCCCCCAAGGAACATGGACACGCACCCCACAGACTGGGCCGCACCCACGGGCACACCCCACCCCCGGGGAACCCCCCACGGAACGCACCCCACGGAACGCGGACGCCCAGGCGCGAGGGAGCGCAGCCCGCCCTCCACACAGCTTTGTTCCCAGAGCCCGGGCGCCCCTCCCCGCCCTCGGCCTCGGTCGCGGGCAGCTCTCCACAGCCCCGGCCTCGGCGAGCGGCCCCTCGGGCTTCGGGCCTCAGTCGGCCGGCGGCGGCGGCCCCGGGGGCCTCTGTGAGGTCGCGTCGCCCCCCAGCCCCACCCCAACCCCACGCAACTCGTCGAGGCCCAGGGCTCGCCCGCTCCCGCCACGTGGTCGCGCTTCCCGCCTGCCTCCCGTGTGCCCCGCGCCGCACCTGGAGCCGGCGCGGCAGCCCTCGCTCTCCGGGCCCCGGAACATGTCGACCGCCGCCACCCTCAGCTCGCCGCGCGCCGTTCCCGCCCGCCCAGCACAGGTACCCAAGGCCGCCCGCCAGCGCCCATTGGGCGCCAAGACGCCAATCATCCCTCCGCAGCCTATCGCGGCGCCGCCCCGTCCCTCACGCCCACCCCCCGACGACTTAGGCTTTGAACGGCCGGCGCCGCGCCCGCAGCGGATTGGGGAAGGCGACGCCGCTCGCGGAGTTGGGAGCTCGCATTGGGCGCCGGGCTGGGCGGGCCCTGGGGCGGCCGCGCCCTCGGAAGGAAGCCCGGCCTGGGGGAGCCCGCGCGCGGATAGCTGGGCCTCACCTGGGCCGCACCTGCCCACCAGGGACGGCCCGCACAGGCGCGTGGCCCTGAAGAACAGGCACAAACGACAGGCCTTAGATCAACATTAGTATGTATTTATGCACAATAAAAACATTTACAAGTTGAACTGGAAATTTAAACAGAAGTTTAACAGCTCTTATTATATTAAATAACCAAAACACCTTTTATTCCCAAAATTGGTAAAGAATAAATAATATAATTTACAATATGGTACAAAAAATAACCAGGAAAGGCAGGCATTCTGCTTTATACATACACTGTATATGCATATTTATAATCTATAAAACAAATTCACATCTGAAACGAGCAGAGGCCTCGCTATGGCTTAACCGAGAAGGGAGAGAAGCGGGGCGGGGCGCAGGAGGCAGGGCCAGGGGCTTGGCTCCCCACACCTCACCCACCCCAAGGACACGCAGCCACTGTGATGTCAGGAGAGCGCTGACAGCCGCGAAGGGTGTGCTGTGGGTTTCTTTCCTTGGTTGTAAATTACTCTTTCCTTGCTTTCTTTTTTCTCCTTGAGACCGAGTTTCGCTCTTGTTGCCCAGGCTGGAGTACAGTGGCGCGATCTCGACTCACCGCAACCTCCACCTCCGGGGTTCAAGCGATTCTCCTGCCTCAGCCTCCCTAAGTAGCTGGGATTACAGGCGTGCACCACCACGCCCAGCTAATTTTGTATTTTTAGTAGAGACGGGGTTTCTCCATGTTGGTCAGGATGGTCTCATACTCCCGACCTCAGGTGATCCGCCCGCCTTGACCTCCCAAAGTGCTGGGATTACAGGCGTGAGCCACTGTGTCAGGCCTCTTTCCTTGTTTTCTTAACACAAAGTATCGAATTTCCTGACAAATGCATCGGCTAGAGCTCAAGGTTTAAAGAGAAAACAAAACTGTCTTCCTCCTCCCTCGTTCCTGGTGTCTTATGCCCCACAACTTTCTTTGCAGAAGAAATGTTGAATTCAATGCTGTGATCTAATTAAAGATGCTATTAAACTAAAGAGGTTATCCACCAGAAACGAGGCCATGGCCTCTCATGCCCAGAACCTGGAGGTGCGGCAAAGCAAGGAGGCCAACCACAGAAACGCCGCCAAGACCCCCCCACCTGAGCTGGCACCCTACAGCTACAAGATACAGAAGGACAGAACAGCCAGGAAGCCACGAACTAGCATCCCGAGGCACGCAGTGCCCACTCATCACACACACCCACAACACCCTCAAGGCCAGAGGACTAACTGCCCTGGACCACAGACGCTCTGTCCCAATCTCCAGAAAAGGCGAATCAGCAAAGATCCCAGACGACGAAAGAGGGATTCGGGAAAGCTTTTTCTAAGAAACTGATCTCATCTTAATTACAGCATGCTCAAATGCACAAAGGAAGCCACTGGCTCACACTGAGACGATCACCGCTTCTGTTGGAAAGGCAGAAGATGCACGAAGTCTCTGTTTGGATCTTTTGAAAATTCTAGCCTTTAACAGTTGCCTATGTTTGTACATAAATATTCATTTAGGCCAGGAGAAAATGCATCCATTGTTTTCCTGCAACAAATGACACCATTTTCCCTTAATGTGGCAAGGAAATGCGTATCACCTGTCTAGTTAATAGAGAGGCAGAATCCTCTAGAACTGTCAGCTTTATTACAGGAGACGAGTCAACCCGTCCTCTCCCTTAACCCATCTCCCCACTGGACGGCAACGGCTGCAGTCGGCTGCTCCCACGAGTCCACGCTGGAGCACCAAGTGGTAGGTGCTGTCTAAAGAGCCTACAAAAGCAGATCCTGACCTCCAAAACTTCACCCCACTTAGCTGTCAGGGGGTAAAAGGTGCCCTGACAAGCAGTTCACAAACCCTCCTGTCACTGGCAAAAGCACACGTAGCTCAGTGCTGTTAGGACTTGGCATCCCTGGTCCAGCCTGTGGGAGTATGAGAAAGCTAGCAGTGGTCTGAACTCGGCCTGGTATCCTAATCCTCTAGAGACGCAGCAAAGCCAGATACACAGAGGTCGAGATCTCCTTGTCTTCTCTGGCTCAATGAGATGCTAATTTCGGAAGCTGGTATATTTAGCACAAAACACAAGCGCTGTGGTTCAAACACTGCTCTCTCTCCCCCAGTCAAGGGGCACCACGTTTTTCTTTTCACCCCCAAGAGGTTTGGGACTGTTTGCTTAAGATCTCATGCCAAGGTCTGAAGGAGGGAAGCCAGCTCAGGCAAGAGCTCTAAGAAAAACTTGTGAGACAAAAGAAGGAAGCTCTTGCCCGGAAGTCCACTGTCCTCTCCACGTCCTCCCATTGGTGCAGTGCAGGGCCTGCCTGTGGTCTACAGTGGCTGTGGTGGGCTGCTGAGACTGCAGGACAGAGGGCAGCCACCTGCTTGTCCACACCAAAGGCCTTTCCCTCCTCTTTTCACCTCCTCCACTGTGGATGAGGAGAGAAGCAGTGGAGGGGCTAGGGCTGGCCTTGAGGGCCGCTGCGTGCTACGTGTCGGGGAAGAGGAATGGTAGGGAGGAGGGAGAGTAGGTCCAAGTAGGTTAGGAAAGCACAATCAATCCTGGATGCCGCGGGGGATGAAATGAGGCAGGAGGGGAAAGATGGCGGCACAGGTATGGCCTGCCCAACACCTCTGTAGCAGCTCCAGGCCACACTGGATGTAGCTGGACGGTGACTCATGTGCTTGGAACTCCTGAGGCTGAGAAGGCAAAGGGGCCCTTGTTAGCTCTGTCCTGGGGAAAGACTGGATGTTGGGCCGTCTACAGTAGGAACACTGGCCACCCGAGAGGGCGCAAGGAGGGAGACCACCACTAAGGCATACATTTGGAGAGGTCTGACCACATCTAGATGTCTGGGCCCTCGCCTGGGTGTCCCAAATGGGAAGGAGACACAGAAGTCTCAAGGCAAAGGTATGCAAGGGACTGAACACGTATGTCTGGCATGCCCACACCAGTGCCCGTGAGAGACACTTTCCCTGCAAAGGCAGATTTGTCTCAAGTGCCAATCAATCACACATTGAATTTAAGAACTTATGAGGAAAGTCTTCGCTGTGATCATATTAGCACTTAAGGGTCGACCCAGGAGGGAGAAATGACACCTTAGATCACCTGGAAGCTTGCGAAGGGACACAGGAAGGAAACCAACTACAGAGGGGACTTCGTTCTTCCTCTTCCATGTCTCCTAATCCTTAAAACACAAGAAAAACGTTTTCAACCACCTTAGCAGGGTCCCACGTAAAGTCCACACAACCTGCACAGTACAGGACTCTTCCTGCCCCCACTCCCTGGTAAGAGTCCGAACAAAACCTCTAGGGAGGGGAGGCACCAGCCCAGGTCCCCAGGACTCCGCAGCAGCCCTGCGATCGGCATCCGCGCGCTTGCTGCCTTGGGGTGTGACACCACCGGCACGAACCCAGGCCACATCCAACTGTCCTGCCCGTTACAGTCCACAGAGGGCACAGCTGATGAATGGCACAGGTTTGGCAGAAAGCAAGCAGCAGGGGCTGGGGTCTCCCTGCAGAGAGGGAGATCACAGCTCCTAGTGCACAGCAACTACACCAAGGCACACATACTCCCTTGTCTCAGAAGGAAATGCCACCGGAACGTCCAACACAACAATCGAGGCAGAGCACGGGCTGAAATGGGATCACTATGCAGACCCTAACATGGGCGTGGTGAAGAACGGCTCTAGCACCACAGTGATTTCTAACACTGGCCCTTCCCAAGAATTCGTCCTAGTCTCCTTGGATGCTGCTGCCTGCTGCTTGTAGGGAAGCAGCTCTGTGGCCACGTTCCTGCCTGTTGCACAGTCTGGGCTGCAGAGACGCCTGTGTTCAGACCATCTTTTGGGGCTGCTGGGCTTGATCTATTTTTCTCTAGCTCGAAGAGGGCTTTATCCGCCACCAGGACGTGTGGTCACTGGGACAGGTCACTGACAGCTGGGCCGCCTCCACCACCATCAAACAGAGCTTCTCGGCGGCCAGGCTCAGCGATGGACAACTCTTGGGCCAGGTCGTTGAACCGAGAAATGTAATCAATGCTGTTTTCGTTCATCATGCATACCAGCTGGGAATCCACAACCTGCAGGAAGAGGAGACAGGAAGAGCAAGTCACTGCGACTGGCTGGCCCTTCAGTGAAGGGCGGGTCCCTACATAGGACGAGAAGCTCCTGTCAACTCCCGCCATAGGAACCCAGCCATGGATGGCAGCCCAGGGCTCTGTGCAGAATTTCAGAATCACCTGTTACCTGCCCGCACAATCTTTAGGTAAGTGCTTGCAGAGAACCTGTGGTGTGCCTGGCACATCTGATGGCTGGGATGAGGGTGCTGGGCCCCCGGCCCGCCATGAGACCTAAGGGGGAAGACACCCAACAGGTAGACAGACAGTACGCAGCAGACACAGGGACGGGGGCAGTCTGCGGAAACAGAAGCAGAGTGAGGGGAGGGAGTGTGCCGGGGGAAGGGCGCCAGAAAGGGTGCTCCAGGGACTGGGACCTGAGTTGGAGGTGGGGTAAAACCCACAGAGACATGAGGACAGGTGGGGGCACGTTCCGTCAAGAGACATAAGAACAGGTGGGGGCACGTTCCCGTCATAGACATGAGGACAGGTGGGGGCACGATCCCATCCAAGTCCCAAGGACATGTGGTGAGGGCACGTTCCCATCACAGACATGAGGACAGGTGGGGGCACGATCCCGTCCGAGTCCCAAGGACATGGGGTAAGGACACGTTCCCATTGGTCCTGAGGACATGTGGGGAGTATGTTCCCGTCAGAGACATGAGGACACGTGGGGAGAACGTTCCTTTTTAAAGAAGCAACAGGCATGTTCCCTGAGACAGGGAAAAGGCTTTGACTGAAAAGTACAACCAAAGTGGTGGCCATGACACAGTGTGTGAGGCAGCATGGAGCTGAGGAGATGGACGGGAGGGCCTCGGCACCAGGATCTTGTCCCATGAGCAAATACGTGGAATGTGCCGTTTTCACTGCTTATCGTCTGCGTCCTGCTCTAGAGTAGAAGCCTCATGAGGACAGAGGCCATTGTTTGCACACAGTAGACCCTGCGAAAATATTCCTTAATGAACTGCATGACACTGTGAATGCAAGAAGTCTGGAAAATTCTAAGTAGAGCTATGGTGTTAATGAAATTTTATGCTTTTATTATGGGAAATGTCAGACAAATTAACATTTGTTTTCAAAAGCAGAGCAAAGAGTCATTCTCCTTCCCCTGTGTGTCCATCATCAGCTCCCACCCCTTTCATCCCAGGGCCACCCAGCTCTACCCCCGCCCCTCCCCTTCGCACTAGCCCTTTCATCCACAAATGCCTCAGACCATCCTTCCAGAGGACGACGATCTGCTGACAAACACACTCACGTTCTGAGTGGAGGGCTCTAGGGAAAACTCCATGCTAAACGCTGACTTGCTCTTTCTGCAGGTGAATATGTGTTTGCATTACTCGCAACGGGCAGCGTTTCACAAATACCAACTGCACCCTTTCTCCGCTACTCACTCCCATGTGCCATCTGTTGCCCAGGATTTCATTAAAGGTACAAATTCTGACTGGGGTGAGGCTAACACTCTACATTTCTGACTCCAAGGGGCTCCTGTCACTGGGCTGTGGCCCGTCCTTTCAGCAGCAAGGTCCTGGCATGCTGCCTCAGGGCTCGTACACAAGGCCCATCTCCACAGAGCCCAGCACTTAGGAACATGCGCACAAACACAGGAAGAGACAGAGACCGGCTTCTCGGGAAACATCAGACTCCAAGGTGTGCTCTGAATAATGATTCTGGGGCCAAACAGGATTGAGAAATGCCACACACTGTGAGATGGAGATCTACTCTATTAATTGTGTCTATGTGTGTTATTTGGTTAAAATTTTCAGTCATATCGTATCACGGCTTGGCTTGGAATTCTCCAAAGCCTGCCCATGAGTTAATCATCTCAAGAGTCACGACTCTCATTTGGATACTGGGTAGCGGAGGTGTCCGTGAGAAACAGGTGTTTTGAGCTTTTTTGGATCCAGGGTTTCCCTCAAATATCTGCCTACAAAATCCTCAAGGAACACCTACCGATGTCCCAACATTGTGGGGACTACATTTGGGGAATGCTGCTCCAGGACTTTCACATGGGCTAAGCTCATGTAGCCTCCTGGACCTGGAGTTCCCTGTCCACAGAGCCCTCACGCAGTTGCTCACACACCTGCCACTCTGCACCTTACATCACAGTGAAACGGGCCTGTCTTCACCCTGCAAGCCTGACCTGCCCACGAATGCCACGCAAACCACATGGTGGAGGCCTTGGGGGCTACAACCAGATGGCCTGGCCAACAGCAAGAGGGACGCTGCACCTGGCCAAAAGAGGAGAGTCACAAACCACGTTTCGCCTTTGCATCAAGAACCTGCCCCAGTGACTCCTCCTATCACTACCCTGGGCGTGGGAGAAGCATGAGAACAGCAGAGCCAGTCTCAGCTCCCCTGCACCGCAGCTCAATGTGACAGGGAGACACTGCTCAAAGGTCCTGCTGTTAGGATGGGAGCACCAACAACACAACTGCTGCAACCACCCCTTACTCCTCCACAACGGTGCCCGCACCTCAGCACCTCACAGCCGGTGAAGGACAGGTGACATCCCCACTTGGCTCTGGCTGCCTTCAGAGACCCTGCTCTACACGCCAGACCAGGGCTCCCAGTTCAGAGACCTGCAGAGCTCAGCTGAGACTAAGTCTGTCATTCTGCATGTGGGGACGAGAGCCAGCCGAGCATCCCCAGATCCCTCCATTCTCAGTAGTCAGGGACCCGAGTGTGTACGTGCTGTTTCCTGATCTTCCACTCTTGGCAAACAGCTCTTACTAACCCACAGGTGTGCAGGAAGAGTGCTGGCAACCCCTGGCACGAGGGGTGGTGGTCAGGTGCAGCTGTGAGGTCAATGCACTCACCTCTGCGACATCAGCCAGGGACCTGGACACAAATGAGTCCCGCGAGTTTCCGTCCAACAAGCTGGGGCCAAGCAAGGAGGTCCCACTGTTGGTCCCAATGGGAGTTGGCAACATCTTGCGGCTCTTCTCTGGGGAGATGAAGCTTGCTGCAGAGGAAAGGCCAGAGGAAAACACCCTGAACCCTGTTTGGTCTGGACCAGTCCAGCAGAAGGGTCCTGAGGCTGGGGGCAGCCAGGCCAAGCCCCGGCCCCAACCCCAGCCCCGGCCCTGGCCCCAATCCACAGACTTGTGCAAAGAGCTTCCGAGAGATTCAACACGCCGTGATGAGCTCTTCTCGTTTAACACGCCTTCCTGCATACAGATGTACACCTTTTCCATGAGTCCCACGGTCTCCCATTCCCACTGCCATCCCCACCCCCATCACGGTGTCCCACCCTCACTGCCACCCCCCAACCCCATCACAGTCTCCCATTCTCACTGCCATCCCCCACTCCCATACTTTCTTCTGTGTGACTAGTCTCATGCAGGTTGTTTCCAACTTTTTTTTTTTTTTTTTTTTTGAGACGGAGTCTCGCTCAGTCGCCCACGATGGAGTGCAGTGGCACAACCTCGGCTCACTGCAAGCTCCGCTTCCTGGGTTCACACCATTCTCCCACCTCAGCCTCCCGAGTAGCTGAGACTACAGGAGCCCGCCTCCACACCCAGCTAATTTTTTGTATTTTTAGTAGAGACGGGCTTTCACCATTCACAGGATGGTCTCGATCTCCTGACCTTGCGATCTGCCCGCCTCTGCCTCCCAAAGGGCTGGCATTACAGGCGTGAGCCACCATGCCTGACCTTTTAATTTTTTTTTAAGGCAGGGTCTCGCTCTTGCCCAGGCTGCAGTGCAGTGGTGATCATGGCTCACCGCAGCCTCAAATTCAGAGGCTCAAGCAATCCTCCCACCTCAGCCTCCTAAGTTGCTGGGACTATAGGCATGCACCACCACACCTGGCTCATTTTAAAATTTTCTGGGCCGGGCGCGGTGGCTCAAGCCTGTAATCCCAGCACTTTGGGAGGCCGAGACGGGCGGATCATGAGGTCAGGAGATCAAGACCATCCTGGCTAACACGGTGAAACCCCGTCTCTACTAAAAAATACAAAAATCTAGCCAGGCGAGGTGGCGGGCGCCGGTAGTCCCAGCTACTCGGGAGGCTGAGGCAGGAGCATGGCGGGAACCCGGGAGGCGGAGCTTGCAGTGAGCTGAGATCCGGCCACTGCACTCCAGCCTGGGCGACAGAGCGAGACTCCGCCTAAAAAAAAAAAAAAAAAAAAAATTTCTGTAGAGACAAGGTCTTTCTATGCTACCAAGGCTGGTCTCAAACTCCTGGCCTCAAGCAATCCTCCTACTTTGGCCTCCTGAAGTACTGGGATTACAGACATGAGCCACTATGCCTGGCCTGTTTCCAGTTTCTCATGATTCACATGTGACTGTCGAAACATCTGCACTGCTACATGCAACAAAAGGAAACGCTTGCAGGGTGCTGGGTCCCTCCCAGCACCTCTCAGACCCAAAGTGCCCAACGGTTCAGGGCTGTCAGGCATGGTGCCCATCATGCCAGATGTGCCCAGCCACAAGCCCTGGCCCCGTACAACTGTGGGCGCGAAGACCCCAGACATCTTAACCAGAGCTCTCTCTGGGCAGGCTACAGCAGCAGGTGTGTCTTTGCCTATGACACCCCCTTCCGGCCACACCTGCTACCCAGTGGGCAGACGGACAGTGGGGTAGGACGACGAACACGTCCTTTGAACTCTCCGATCTGTATTCAAGAATGCGCCAGGTGGCAGCTGGACCATCCACTTCTGAATACCTTACTGACCACAGAAAGAGAAGAGCCAAGAGAGTGCCAAGATACCATTTCCTTTTCTGCCCTCGAGAGAATCCTAGTGGGGAGCGGCCAGGCTACCTGAACAGACTGGGAAGGCACACAGAACCCAGCATCTGGGCTCACGAGAACGTTCCAGGTCTCCACTGGGTTGTGGGTTACCAGGCTATACATGCTTGCCACAGCTTGGTGAACTGTACACCCACATGTAAATTACACCCAAAAATATTAACTCAGAAAAACACAAACACTTGAGGAGTGAACAAGCCAACAGTCCTCGTGGGAGTTAGAGTAGAATGAGAATCCAGCGTCCCGCCGACCCCAGCCCCTGCTGCTCTGGGAAAGGAGACAGGAGCCCTGCCCATACACTCACCAAACAGGCTGCTGAGCGAGGAGTCGGTGGAATCACTGGGGTACCACTGGGGGTCGTGGGTGGGAGAGGCAATCCAGTGTGGCTGGGGGCTGCTGGACGGGGAGGGAAGGCTCTTGGAACTGTCACTGCCGTTCAGTTTTGCTGGAGAAAGAGGGACCCCTTCACCTGCCAACCAAGACCCCAGATCAGAAACGCCTTGCTGTGGGCAGTGAACAGCACCTCGCTCCTCCAGTCCACCACGGAGAAGGCAGCAGGGCCACAGGGCTCTGCCCTGCTGAACCAGATAGATGGCACGGCTCTGCAGGTAAGGAGCACAGTGCCTGCAGAACAGCTCTGCAGGGTGGAAGGGCACAGCACAGAGTGAAGGCGATAGCAGTGGTCACCACGGATTCCACGTGAGTCACCTCATGGCACCCATAGCAGCCCTGGGAGCTGTACCTTATTCTCAACTTACTGCTTAGGAAAGGGAGGTTCAGCAAATTGGTGATCTGCCCAAGGCTACATGCTAACACACTGTGAACTCACAACTCTCTGAACCCATAGCCTGCGTCACACCAGTGAGCAACAAACCACTGCTCCCAGCAGCTTTGTCCCAGACAGCAGGTGAGACCACAGCCCACAGGCCAGTCCAACTGCTTCATAAACTGTGCAAGACTCGCAGGCTGCCTGCTCAGGTTCAAGATCAACTAGGAAAATACTGTGTGATCCCCAGGCTGAAGAGCGCCTGGGGGCCATCCCACTGTCTCGCCTGAAGGTCAGGAGCAAGCCTACCAGGCCATCAGTTGCCTCAGGTCCCACAGCTACCTTATCCACCTGCAACATCCCTGTCGGAGCCAGACAGCACCTTGTAGGTGGCAGCTTTTCAATTCGTAAAAATCACAAACTGGAATATCCCAGGAAGTGTGGCAGACACTGGGGCAGGAGATCAACACCTGATGACAGGAAGGGCTGGGAGGCCGCCCTGCCCTTACCGTACTGACCGGAGCTGATGGCGATCTCAATGATGGAGTCACTAATGTGTGTGGCAGGCTCGCCCTGTGACAGCGCATCCTCAGGCGGGCCAGGCAGGGAGATGTCGAGCAGAGCAGAGACATCTGGTGGAGATAGTCGGGTGCTGGAGCCCTCTGACGAGGATAGTGGTGTGGAGAGGCCATTCTGGAGAGGGGCCTTAGGCAGCTCAGATAAGGACAGAACAGGCGAGCCCTGCTGGGAGACAGGTATTTTTCAGACACAACCAGGTCTACCAGAACCCATGACAAGGGAGGAAACACCAGCTTAGTCTCCTAGCTTGTGGGCAAATCAATAGGGTGATGAGCGCTACAGTCACCTCATCCCTCCAACTCAGGAACACACTCAGGGAATTTATTTCTCCCAAAAACACTCAGTATGGCAGAGTCAGAAGGTCAGGTTGCAGTGACCTGGACCTGCTTTGACTGCTGCCAGAAAGAGAGTGGGGGCTGGGGGAGTTACTAGCTGACGGCCTCCTCCTCCCAGAAAGCCGAGTTCTTCCAGAGCTGGGTCTGAAACAGCCTGCCTCGGAGAGGGGAGCAGGGAAGTCTGAGGTGGCGGACAGTCATATTCATTTATCCACCCTGGGCAGCTAGCCCCGCAGGCAGAAGAACAGCAAAGCCACCGCACAGTCTAGGAGAGAAGCCAGGCCACTGCAAGACTGCAGGTGGCAGCTCATGGCACTGCAGGGAGTCCTGGGGCAGCTGCTTTGCCCAGCAGCCCAAGAGCACACTCTACCTGGAAACCGTCTGCCACTGGTTCCTGCTCAGGCCTCGAAGGGATGCTGACGAACGGGTCGGAGCCCTGCAGGAACAGCACGCCCATGAGCAGCTGCAGGGTGCACCAGATGCCACCCATACCCTTGCCCGCGACCGAGTTCCAGAAAAAGAGGTGTTCCATCCCCCTGGCCTCCTAACAGCAGAGGGACAGGAAACGGACAGCAGTCTGAGATGGAAAACGCTGAAAGGCGACTTTCAGGTGTGGGTCCTGTACTTGCAATTTTTTGTTGCTTCCAAGAGTCAAGTAAAGTCCTATGAGCAAGTCAACCTTGTAGCAGGCAGGGCTGGGCTCCCTGGAGTCTTAACAGCATCAGCCCACCTCACCCTCCTTGGGGCCGCTCTGAAGTGGCCATGGGAGGCCAGAGAAACCAGGCGCTTGGAGCCTCATAAAGGAGCAATGGCCAAGGCCATGCAGGCTGCTATCTTCCCAGATGAAAGAGATGCTCAGTGGGTCCCAGCACAGTGTTGTGGGCTCACTGCTGCCAGCTTGGTCACAGTCACTCTCAGATAGAGCTGTGTTTCCACACCGTCTCAGCTCTGGGTTCTCCAGTGCCACATGGCAAGCCTGTCCCCAACTTTCCTTCAGTGGCTCTCAACGCCCCTCCTGCTTTGTGCTACACAGAGCTTGCTCACGCCATGGCACCCCTGGTCCAGAGACTCTCCTCCAAAGGCAGAGCTGGAGTCCAGGGTGATCTCAGCCCCATGGCTTTGGTGTCCACACCAGAAGTTGGTGGTAATGCTGAAAAGCCCTTCTAAACATACTCACCCCCACAGCGGGGAGGGCGTCTCCATCCTGGTGAGTTCCAGTGGAGTCCTGCCCCGAGATGGCGCCTGTCACCTCGTCTGAAGACAGTGGAGAGATGCCAGACAAGCCCTCGGTGTCCAAGGCAGGGAGGGGGTTCCCAGAGAGGATGCCGGCACTTGTAGCTGCTAAGTCGATAGCACCTGGCAACAAAAAGGACGCTGCACTTCTCTGCTCTACCGACAACCCATGAGATGTCCCAAGAGGGCTCAGGGAACAGCTTCTCTCTCACATCTCATGTCAATGCAAGAGCCAAGGGCTTAGATGTTCTCGGTGAAGGGTAATGAAACATTATGATTTGGAGAAGAAGACATTCAAAAAACCTGGTCACAAAAACATCCCTCAGAGGCTCACTCAGTGGCTGTGGCCATGCAGGTACAGACTTACTGGCCAGGTGACTCGTGGCCTGGGGTGGAAGGACCTTGGGCACGATCGGCCGAGACAGAGCTGCTTTGGTCAGAGAAGACTGGATGGGCCGGAACGAACCTCTCCCTGCGAGGGCGAGGGCAAAAGCAGACATGTCGAGCCCGCCCACGTGCCCTCACAGCAGGATGGGGCCGCAGGGGGCTTCCTTTACCGCCACTGTTGGGAGTGTGGGAGCCGAGCCAAGCTGGAAGCCACTGAACTTTCCAAATGCTAATGTGAGGAGTCAGAGGTCACACAGGCCCCCAGCATGACACAAGCTCTGGCACCCACCACTGTGCCTCCCAGGAGCGACTGGAAGGCTGCGGTCACCACTGTCATCCTGTGGAAATGGCTCTTTAAGGGTGACAAGCACCTGAGCTGAGGTACACACCCCAGGGCAGTCAGAGCATCAGATTCTGGACTAAGATGCTGCCACTGCAATTTGGTTTTATCTTGCCAGGCTTTCCACAGTTGAAAACCGACAAGTAGGCAGGAGAAAAAGCAATTGACAGCTGTAAGTGTCTTGCGATAAGTCAATGAGAGATGTGGAAGTCAACACTGGTAGAAAAGGGAAGTCACAGTATGTGCTTCACTAGAGGTTTCTCCCTGTGTAAGATCTACTGCAAGGAGCCAAGGCCCCCACTAAATGTACAGACTGGTGGAAGCATAATCCACACACCCCAAGAACACATCCACTACATAAAACGGCTGATAAGACGTTACGTATACAGAGCAGACAAGAGACGCAACTCGAACCAAGCCAAGCGCCTCACACAAGGCCATCTGAGGCCACAGACGAAGGGCACCCTTTGGACTAGCCGCCTCGCCCGCCACCGCAGCCTGCGGCCCAGCACATAGGGCACACTAGGTATTTGTCGGTAGAATGAACAAAGGAATGCCCGAAAATAAGCCATGGAAATAAGCACCCATTGTTTCCAAAGCCAGGGCCCTCATGTGAGGAGGAGGGACAAGCTATCCCAGAAAAGCTCAGGGTCCTTACCAGTTACGGAAGAGTTAGACAGGATGGAGAAGGAACAAACGTTGTGGGACTGGTTTTCCGATGGTCTAGGGAGCAGTGTTCTCTGTGGGAAAATGGTAAACAATCAAGGTGATCAAACTCCCATGCCAAAAAATCACTCCCAGTTACAAAGGAATGTCCCAAATAAGAGGGTGCCCAGCATAGCCAGGTGGGGCTCTTCTTCCAGAGCCGATGACACAGGGTGTCTGGGACCGTCCCAGACAGTTAGGACCTGTGCACCCCAACCCTCAGTTAGGTTCTCTCTGAAACAAACCCAGGTAATCAAACCTTTCCCAGGGAAAACTGAGGAATGTCACAGTGATCCACTTTTTTTTTTTTTGAGATGGAGTCTTGCTCTGTCACCCAGGCTAGAGTGCAGTGGTGCCATCTTGGCTCACTGAAATCTCTGCCTCCCAGGTTCAAGTGATTCTCCTGCCTCAGCCTCCCAAGTAGCTGGGATTACAGGCACTCACCACCACGCCCAGCTAATTTGTGTATTTGTAGTAGAGACGGGGTTTCACCATGTTGGCCAGGCTGGTCCTGAACTCCTGACCTCAGGTGGTCCACCCGCCTCAGCCTCCCAAAGTGCTGGGATTACAGGTGTTGAGCCACTGTGCCCGGCGTGATCCACTTTTAATCCAGAACTTTCTTCTGGATTTGGCTAGAATGCAACTAGTCATATAAACCTGTTTATAACCACTGGACATGGACTTTTATGAGTGACACCCCCAATTGTGGGCTTCCTCACACATGGGGTAAGGAAAACAAAGTCACTGCTTGTAACACAGGCACCAAAGGGCATGAAGTGCTCCTTCACAGGGCTTTTGTGTGTGAATAATTAGGCCGAATGTGCTACAGGAGGTTTGAGTGACAAGGACTACCATCTGAGAAACTGTTCATCATGAAACTGCTAGTGATCAAGATAAAACACGAACAGAAAAGTGTCTCTCGACCTCCAAGTGTCTGAGGCGCTTCGGCCTCTGGGGTGCCGCTGCAGTTCCCTGACCCTCTGCAGTGCCCCGGGACACTGGTGTCGGAGAGACTGGAGAGCAGGCGCTACTAGAGACAGCGGCACGCTGCAGCCTCGTAGCGTGAACTTGCACTCCAAAGGCTACACTTTTCATAGCAGAGATTGACACATTTCTTCCGTAAAGGGCCAGGTAGGAAATATTTTAGGTTTTGGGGCCATACTTAACCGTATCCGTGTGGAAAACAGTAGATAGTACAGAAATGAAGAATCATGGCTGTGTGCCAGTAAAACTTTATTTACAAAAATATGATGTGGAAAAGAACACATATTGTATGATCCCATTTATAGGAAATGCCCAGAACAGACAAATCCATAGAGACAGAAAGTGGATTTGTGGTTGCCAAGGGCTGGCGGGAGAAGCAACGTGAGTTCACAGGTGCAGGGCTTCCGTTCTGGGTGGTGACGTTCTGGGATTAGACCATAGTGATGGTCGTACACCTTGCGACCACTGAGTCACAAGGTTTAAATGGGCAAACATTACAATATGTGAATTCTCCATCTACAAAGCTGCTTTAAACTAAACAAAACAACAGTCAGGCTGGAAGTAGCCCCTGGGCCATAGTTTCCAGCCCTGGTCTTAGTCTGAACAAAGAATACCCAAGATTTAGCAGGCATCTTTCTTCCCAGGACCGTTCATGCAATCTCTCATTTGTAAATACACTAAGCGCAAGGGAGAAAGAGATTTCTAAGAGTCTAACAAAAGGAAACCTGTGGATTAACCCAAAACAACACACATCCATAAATTTCTAAGGCCATCATTATCTCAGACTTCCCACCTCAGTTTCTGTATTTTTATGCTTCAGAATGCCAAGCTCTTCTTCTGAGGTGCCTGAGTCCCTGGCTGTCCCCCAGGCTTGCATACGGCATCCTCAGGGACTCCGGGGAGCTCATGAGAGGCCTGGGCTCTGGCGGACCCACATGCCCTAGCAACTGCTCCACCGACTAAATGTTTATAAACAGGTGCTGAGAGTCCATGAATACATCCCAATCTGCACATTCTTTGGACTTGAATCCCTATAACTGTCTTTTTTGCAAGTGGATTTCTCTGTTGTTGAAAGATTACCTTTACTTCTGGGTACCATTAAGTTCACTGTTATTACTTGCATTTTCACCCTACTCACAAGAAGGAAGGAAGGGGCAGGGATTTCCCCATTTTACACCATGAAAACGCGAGAAAAGGAAGAAGCCCTGTGTCCCGGTTGGCCCAGCCACAAGGCCACATGTTCAGACTTGACAAGACCCTGACCTGGACTACCAGTGGCTTCCGCAGGTGCCGGTTCCGCAGCTTCCGGGGCTTTGGCAGGAAGAAATCCGACTGCATCTGTAAGGGAGCAGCGTCCGGCATGTGAAGGTGCGCTCTCCACACCCCGGGGACGCTCGCACATGGGCGGCCCGCCCCACACACTCACGCTGATGGAGCTCAGATGCTGGCGGAAAGTCAGCTCCGCTTCTTTACTGGGAGAGAAGAGCTTCCCATGTCGGCTGTTGGGTGGCAAGGTTGTCGGGACAGCAAAAAGGCCGCCATCTGAGTCACTGCTTCCTGTGCCGGAGGGACCAGGCACCAAGAGGGGTCTTGGAGGGTTTCTCAAACCTGGCAGAGGAGAGGAGAGAATCAGTGTGACGGCATTCACCTAGCAATAGGTCCAGGGTCACAGAATTCTGTGGGTAATAAAGTCAGAAAGGCATTCTCTCGGCAACCCGTTCGGTTGTCTTGAAAGGAAAGACCTCTATCTCAGTCCCATGTAAAGACTGATTTTCTATCCTTCTCACTGAAATTCTTGTTCCCATTTTGAGCAGACCACTGGTCTCCTAGATAGGACAAAAGCACTTCACCATTTTGCTCAGTGCTCAGGAGTAAGGGCAGATAAGACACCAAAGATGTTCTAGGGCTAGAAGAGCCTTCAGGGTCTCTAGTCAGTCAACTTGCTTGGTGAAGGGCCAGATAACCAATGTCCACTCTGCAGATCATACTGTCTCTGGGGCAACTCAGCCGTGCACTGTAGCACAATAGCAACTACAGACAACACGTGAACAAATGAGTGTGGCTGTGTGCCAATACAACTTTATTTATAAACAGCAAGCAGTGGGCTGGATCTGGGCTGCAGGCCTACTATAGCTGGCTGCTCCCTGGTCTAAATCTCGAGTTTTTAGAAAACAGACCCAGAGGTAAAAGAACAGGAAATATGAGAGAGTTAGTATTGTGGGACCCTGCTACATGTTTTCATCATTGTCAGTGCTGCTGTAAACCACCCTGAGAATTCACGGTAGGCCAGCCTGGCCAACATAGCGAAACCCTGTCTCTCCTAAAAACAGAAATTAGCCAAGTGTGGTGGCACATGCCTGTAATCCCAACTACTCGGGTGGCTGAGGCAGGAGCATCACATGAACCCAGAACATGGAGCTTGCAGTGAGCTGAGATCACACCACTGCACTCCGCACTCCAGCCTGGGCGACGGAGCGAGACTCCATCTCAAAAAAAATAAAATTCATTCATATTAGGGACTGGCCCCCTCTCACAGGACCCCTCACCTGGCCCCCTCTGTCACCCAGGCTGGAGTACAGTGGCACAATCACGGTTCAGTGCGGCCTTGAACTCCTGGGTCCAAGTGATCCTCCCACCTCAGCCTCCCAAATAGCGGGGACCACAGGTATGAGCCGCAACATCCAACCACTTTTTTTATTTTCATATTTTGTAGAGATGAGGTCTTGCTATGCTGCCCAGCCTAGCTTAAAGTGATCCTCTTGCCTTGGTCTCCCAAGGTGCTGGGATTACAGGCATGAGTCACTGTTCTGGGCCTTATTTTACCTTTAAAACTCACCTTTTTTTTTTTTTTTGAGACGGAGTCTCGCTCTGTAGCCTGAGCTGGAGTGCAATGGCTCTATTTTGGTTTATTGCAACCCCCACTTTCCGGGTTCAAGTGATTCTCCTGCCTCAGTCTCCTGAGTAGCTGGGATTACAGGCGCCTGCCGCCACATCTGGCTAATTTTTTGTATTTTCACGAGAGACGGGGTTTCACCATGTTGGCCAGGCTGGTCTGGAACTCGACTTCAGGTGATCCACCTGCCTCGGCCTCCCAAAGTGCTGGGATTACAGGTGTGAGGCACTATGCCCAGTCTAAAACTCACCATTTTCACACTTAAAAATTTACCACCCTAACCATGATAATCTGCTTTATTATAAAAATACTATGGGTTGAAAGCGAGTGAAACTGATGCCTCAGGAAACTGGTCGTGCTTGTCTTGGAGTTCTATGTACCAGGAACACAATTTACGATCCCTGAATTTAAGTTATTTCCTATATGCAGCTGGCACAGGGGCACATTGCGGACTGGCAGACTGTTCCATCATTCTTTCCGGGACTTGTGTTCACCTGTTGGCACCTCCCCTAACTGAAGGATTCTCTATTCTGAAGTTTTACATGTAAAGAAAAACAGAAAAATAACAACCTTCTCAGGGACTTTGAACCAACTCAGCACATTAGTGAGGCTTTTGCTGACACCATAAAGCAGATCCCAAAGTGACCAGCCTGGCAAAGGCCAGCTTCTTGCCAGCTTCTACACCCCGGGACCCCACAAGTCCTTCGTGACAAGCCCTGGCATCGCCCTCCCCATGAGGAGGCAGTGACTCTGTATCTTCACCGTGTCAGCTGGACTGTGGCAAGCTGGACAGTGGGGTCAGGCCTCAGGCACACCTGTGCCCTCAGCTTCGGCATGGCCCCTGAAGCCTGAGAGGATGCCATCAGGGCAGCCCAGGCACAGGGAATGTGGCTGCCACAGCCTCACCTGAGGAGCAGGGTGCCGAGCTGGGTGGGAAGGTCTTGCTGCTGCGGAGGGAAGCCTGGTTCCGAGGGCAGCGGGGGCTGCGAGAGCTGACGGTCACCACCTTCCCTGGGGGCGTCACTGACTGCTCCTCCTGGATGGGCCTCACCGAGGCTGTGGAGACGGTGTTTGCTTCCAGAGCCTGGGACGGAAATGGGCCAAACAATACCCAAACTCAGCACATGAGAAACAGCTCCTGCATGCCCTGGAGTAGGAGGCGAGATCGTCATGGAGCTCAGAGAGCACAGTGTCATGACGGCAAAGGCCAGGGCCAGAGACGCCCAGCCTCAGTGTCCCCAGAGTCGCTCGGTAGCTTGCCAGTTTTAAAAGTCACTGGTCAGGTAAGTAATAAAAACCACTGCCTTCCTCACAAGTACCTTTCCACGTGCTATGGCGGAGGTGGGAGGGAGGGGACCAGCCCGAAGTGCCAGCATCGGCTGCGGGAAGAGGTGCCGGATGGCAAGTGTTAAGTGTCAAGAACTCAAAGCTATATTAAAAAGTCAGCACAAGACTGCAGCAGCCTCTCTGCTTGTGAGTCAGAGGAAGGAAATACAGGTCAACTTTCTAGAATCAGACACAAGCACAGCTGAAGAGCACTCTGCAGGGATGAAGCTAAACTTTGGGGGGTGTGCAGGCCCACGAGGCGCAACCCCAGGGGATCTGCAGGCCCACGCCACAGCCTGCAGAGCCTGCTGCCAAGTCCTGGGGTCCCCGCCTGGCTCACCACAGAAATGCCACCGCCGCTGAGAAGACTCGGCCAGTACCCCAGCCTCTCGGCTCTCCTCCTCCTCCCTCACTCTCCTGAACACCCCACACATTCCACCTGGGGCAACCTCCCTGTGGACTAAGAAACCCTCCACCCCATGCTCTCAGCACAGCCCTGCCCATCTGCTCACTCAGAGCCTTCAGCCCCTAGTCCCCATACCCTGGCCTTTCCCCAGGACCCTCCCACCGCATGACGCTTCCTACGCTGCTCCTTCCACCTGCGACAGCAGCTCAGCAGCCTCCAGCATCTCCTCATCTCTGGGGCTTGGGCCTTTTGGGACGCTTGTCACAGCTCCACCAGGCAAGAGACAGCCCAGGGCCAGGTGCTGCACCTGGCTGGCTGTCCAGTCTGCCAGGCCCACCCAGAGTCAGCCTCCCTAACTAGCTCCCGGGGGATGGGAATGCCTTTCTACGTGGGATTCCTACCTGCTCGGTGTCCCAGAACTGCTGCCTGCACCCTCAGGAGCCTACCCTGCCCCTTCCCTGGGGCACCCAAACACAGGCGCTACGTCTCTCCTCAGCCCCTCCCATGAGCCCACCAAAAGCCAAACCTGAAAAGCCTTCTAAAGGCACTATTTTTCTGGTCACCGCTTACCCACCCTGGTGTCCCCCCACCACACTACCCCCGAGCCACTTTCACCCTCAGGCTTGGCCTCAGAGGCGCCTGAGGTTCGGGCTCAGTCACCACCTCCCCTGCAAGAACTTTCTTTCCCCCAGCCCCCATGATGCTCCCCAGGCACATCTGCACATTCCTGCCAGCTGTTGATGAACTAACTCTCCGGGGCAAGCCCTGCACGGGCTGGCGGGGGCGGGAGTGGAAAACCAGCAGGAGGCCTGGGGAATGCAGGCAGAAGTGAGCATCACTTAGAAGTAAGGTGGCCTGTGTGGAGCAGCAGGTGTGTGGGGGCTCATGAGGGCCCGAGTCCCAAGTCCCCCCAGCACAGGGACATGTGAGCCTCACACACATTCTGACCATGAAACAGCACTAAGGGGTCCACAGTGACCTGCAGCTCCTGCCCCAGCTCATCCTTTGAGCCCCTCACTCATGTCCGGCAGCTTGCCAGCCCCTAAACAGGCTGTTTCAGCACGGGCCTGCCATGGACCTTGCCCTCTAGGACCCGGAGATCCTACTGGACTTGGGGGTGTGGGGTAGGATTACTCCTGGGTGCGCTGTTGGCTCCACCAACTGGCCTCCCTGTGGTAAGGGACCCTTCCCCAGGCTCAGGGACCACCCACACACTGCAGGGACTGTCCTGTCTGGTCCCCAGCTCCACTGTTCTGCTGCGGCACCACAACCCTGCTCTTCTGTGACAGCCTCTGACTGCCACATCTGCACAGCAGCTAGGATGGTCTTTCCAGAGCAAGAACTACACCCGTCATTCCCTCAGTGGAAACCTGTTAACAGTGATTAGATAAGCCAGAAGGCTAGCTCGGCTCCAGGCCTCACTCTGTCACCCTCGGTCCTGTGCAAGTTGTCCCTTCAGCTGCATGCTTGGGCTTGGCAGACTCCCAGGAACACAAGGAGGCTCACAAGGTACTGCCTGCCTGTTGGCCGTCTTCTCCCACACCCCACACAGAAAAGAGCACCCAGGCCACTCATCACTGCACTTCTGGAGCCGTGCACGTAAGTGGGGACACTCATCAAGAGCCCGAGGATTCCTCCGCGGGGGAAAGGAACGTGGTCTGTGGAGAGCCTCTGTCTCCCGGATTATCTGGGTCCTGGCCTCTCCCCGTTCCTTGAGGCCCTGCAGGCTCCTGGCACCCTGCCACAGGACCCTGTCTCTCTCATCTGGACCCCACCCATGCTGGGCCTGGCTTCCCTTGGGCCGCCAGAGGGACTGGGCTCCAACCCACTCACCAGCTTGGGGTTGACCTCGGTGGAAATGAGCTTCAGGAGGCAGCTGAGGAGGCGCTGCTTGTGGAGGGTGGTGGGCGGGGAGCCAGGGCGGGGGTCCTGGCGGCCGGGCCCCAGCCAGTCGTACTCTAGCTGCAGCTTGCTGGGCTTGCCCATCATGAGGTAGACTTCGGCCAGCGTGAGGCTTTCGGAGGTCTGCAGGTTCCAGCCCTCCTCACGGAGCTGCTGAGCCAGCCGGCTGGCGGGGACCTCCTTTGGGGGCCTGGCGGCAGGCTGTCCCTGAGGCGGCGGAGGCTCCACGGGGCTCCCCTTCTCCTGGAGCTCCTCTGCGGGTGCATCTGCCAAGTCTTTAGTGCAAACATCCAGCAGGAGCCCGGGGCCGGGCCTTGGGGATGGGCCAGTGGGAGCAAGGTCAGCAGCCTCCTTGCTGACAGGAGCCAGCACCTCTGGGGAGGTCACCCCGCCTGGAGGGGGCTGCTCGCTCCCAGGCCGTGTGTCCGCACAGCGGCACTGCTCGGGGACAATGAGGTCCTGACAGGACTTCAGGTAGCGGGGCAAGGGGTCTAGGAGCGAGAGCTCGTCCTCCAGGTCTGGGAGCTGGCCACAGGTACACGGCAAGGCCCCTGGCTCCCGGGTGGGACTGTCCCTGCCTTCTGCAGGGGTCTTCTCAAGACATGGCCCGGTGTCCTGGTGCCTGGGAGGAGGCCTGTCGGGAGCGTCCGGGCTGCTCAAGCTTAGGGCGGCCCCCTCCCCAGGGGCGCTTTCGGGGGAACTCTCTCCGGAGCTCTGTGAGGCATCAGCCACAGGAGGGGGCCGCCCCACACCCTTGCCCTCAGCTCCACCCCGTGGGCATTTCACCTGGCCCCGGGCGGTGCCCTGCCCACTCTGGATGCCCAGGATCTGGGCTGGGGGCAGCACGTGGGCGTCCTTGGCACTCTGCTTGCACCGGCCACCCTCCTGCCAGTGCACTGTGCAGAAGGCCTTGGAGTGCACCACGCGGGCCACGCCCGGCAGCGGCGTCAGTGTGCAGTTCTCGCCTGGGAACAAGTGCAGTGTCACCTTCTCCTGCGTCAGTGCAGAGCATGAGTCCTGCAGCTGCCGCTCCTCGAGTGTCTTCCGCTGAGTGCCCGTCAAGGAAGGCCTACGCTGGCTGGCACTGAGGTCCGGATGCTTACCAGGCACATGGCTGCAGACACGAGCCATGCTCCCCACTGGCATCCCCCAAGGTATAAATCATGCCCCCGACCTGGGGCTTTCCTCACACCACTACCCAACAGTGCTGACCTGGGCACTTAGTACCTTCAGGAAATTCACACCTGACATGCACCACGCCTACGTGGGGAGTGGGCAGGGCCGGGAGCCAGCCATGGACGTGAAGAAGGCTGGGCTGACCCTTGGTTGTTTGGCTCAACCTGCTGGCAGGAATGCTCTGGCCACACCCCGTGGGCCAGACACAGGCCCCTGACATCGTGGAGGGCTGGCTGTGACTGAGTTCTAGCACTGCAAAGCCACAGTGGGGGCTCCACACCCATGGAATAAGGAGCTCCAGGTTATGGTTCCAGAGGTACACCATGTCACAGCACAGCTGTTCTGCCCATGGGGACCATGACGATGACAGGCACAGGGAGGCGTGGTCCGTCTCCCGGCAGCAGAGGCAGTGCAGCCTGGAGGGTTGGCTTTAGCTGGAAAAGGATACAACTCGCACCTCATGGAGTGCCCACTTCTGCTTCAAGAACTCGATGAGGCTGGAGACCTTTCGATGCAGCTCCACGATCATCCTACAGAGACGAGAGGCAGGAGAAAGTGAGGCTCGTAGAACAGGAAGGGAACCATCTGAACAGCCCCGAGGCTGCTTACAGCAAGAGGGCGCCAAGAGACAAAGGACCTCCGGAGGGGCACCCGGGAGCAGGCATCCACAGCGCCCTTGGCTCCTGTGGCTAAAAACCAGCCTTTCCAGCTGTGATGGCCAGAGATTCACACGGAGCTAAAGGAAACATCATTGCCAGCAAAAGGTCTCCGCCAGGATGTGGGCGCTGGCGCACAGCCTCTGCCTAGTCTATGAGCTCCTTCTGGCTTCCAGGGCGGGCGGCCATGGACAGCGTTAATACATTCTGAGGGGAAAGTATACGAGCGGAAGGAACGAAGTACTGGCATGCTATGACGGGTGAACCTCGAACACATCACGCCCAGTCAAAGAGGCCAGGCCCAGAGGCCTCTGCGTGTGGTTCCATTTCTATGGAACGTCCAGGGTAGGCAAGTCCACTGAGACACAAAGCGGACTGGGAGGTGCCAGCGGCCGTGGGAAGGTGAGCATCGAAGAGTGAGTGCTAAGGTGCACGGGGGCCTCTTCTAGCGTACGAAAATGTTCTGGAGCTGGACAGAGATGGTGGCCGCAGAACACTGTGACTGTGTTAAATCTCACTGAACTGTACACTTAAAAATGGCTAAATTTGCCGGGCATGGTGGCTCACGCCTGTAATCCCAACACTTTGGGAGGCCAAGGTGGGTGGATCACCTGAGGTCAGGAGTTCAAGACCAGCCTGGCCAACATGGTGAAACCCCGTCTCTACCACAAAAATTACCCAGGTGTGGTGGCGGGCGCCTGTAATCCCAGCTACTCGGAAGGCTGATGCAGGAGAATCACTTGAACCTGGGAGACGGAGGTTGCAGTGAGCTGAGATTGTGCCATTTGCATTCCAGCCTGGATCACAGAGCAAGACTCCATCTCAGAAAAAAAAAAAAAAAAAGAAGCCCAGGCTGGAGTGCAATGGCGTGATCTCGGCTCACTGCAACCTCTGCCTCCCGCGTTCAAGTGGTTCTCCTGCCTCAGCCTCCCGAGTAGCTGGGATTACAGGTGCCCACCACCGCGCCCGTCTAATTTTTTTTGTATTTTTAGTAGAGATGGGATTTTACCATCTTGGCCAGGCTGGTCTCAAACTTCTGACCCCGTGATCCACCCACCTCGGCCTCCCAAAGTGCTGGGATTACAGGTGTGAGCCTCCGCAACCTGGCACCTCAATTTTTTAAAATGTACAAATGGAAAAGGGTCCATTTCCACGGTAGCACCTTGTGCACATGCAAGCCACGAGTCTCCAAGAAGCGGATGGGAGAGGAACAGTATAGGCCTTATTGGGGGACGAGAGGAAGGCTCTGCAGTTCCCCTTCTCACCGCGACATCCCCTCCACCATCCCTGCCCAGGTACAGGAGTGCAGCCCAGTGCTCCCTGGACTCCAGTCACCTCCAGACTGCTCTGTCCTTGTGTGATGACAGAGCATGGGGGTGGACCTGCTTCTCCTGGAAGTTCCTTGAGGGAAACACACACACTGCTTCCAGTCCTGCTCAAGCAGTTGGGACCCCTCTGCATGACAAAGGCCATGGTACCTGAGGCGCGGGTTCTGGGCAAGGCTCTGTACGCGGGCCCAGGCGTGGTTGTTCCGTGGCTGTAGCTCTATAGGGACTTTCAGAGGCAGGCGCACTGGCTTCTGGTCCTCTTCATCACTCAAACCTGCAATGGAGAGGAACCATGAAAGTTTAGTGTAGGCCAACCTTAAGGTAGAAAACCAAGTGCTTGGCCAGAAAAACCAGTGAAATCAGCTGTGAGCAGATGATCTTGCAAACAGAGGCAAGGACAGCAGAGAAACCCCGGTGAAGAAACTCCAGTGTGGCTGCTCAGGGGTTTGCAAAGGCCACAGACTGGTCCAGAGAGGTCACAGGAGACTCGATCCTGACAACCACCGACCACTCTGCTGACTGCTGCCATGGCTCTGAGCTCAACTTGACTGAGTGGACGTTGGGAGCATTTCAAGTTCAAGAGTGGTCCATGTGCAGCCCTGGGATTAAGCAGGGTCAGACACAAAGCAGCTGTGGCAGTGACGCTGTAGCTCAGCCTGTCCGCCACTGAATGGGACGCCACAGGCACCACCTCTGGTCCTGGAAGTGCCCATCCACCTACCATCCGGATCGCAGAGCTTCTTCAGGGCCCGGCACATGGGCGCTTTGATCCGCAGGTTCCGCCCTTTGTAGCGTACAGTGGTGGCCCTGGGAAAAGAGTTTTGAAGGAACGCTGAGGCCTGTGAGTCAACAGAGGGACGGAAGGGCCAGCACACAGAGAGGCGCTGAGCCAGGCCAGGTGGGGCCTGGCCAAACATCCACCCCAGCCTCTCAAGCCCACGTAGGACAGTGGGAGGACACGGTGACAAACAAATGGTGACTCTGCACATCCTGCTACTCTCCTGACCACACTTCAAACTCCAAGGGACAACTGCTGTGTACAGAAAATGTGCTGTGCCCTCCCGCCTTGGTGACTGGCCTGGCACAAGCTCATGTCCCATTCCTGGAAAAGCCACTGTCCTGGGGTCCCCTCAGACAGCCACCCTTCTCTCCACTGCCCCAGCTCTGTGCAGTCCTCCCACTTTGGGCCCTCAGAGCAGAAGCTCTCAGTCCTCCTCCCCATGACCTCTCAGTTCACCTCCCCGTGACCTCTGTGTGACCTCTCAGTCCACCTCCCCGTGACCTCTGTGTGACCTCAGTCCACCTCCCCGCCTCTCAGTCCACTCTGACTTGACTCCTCAGTCCACCTCCCGTGACTGTGACTCAGTCCACCTCCCCGTGACCTGTGTGACCTCTCAGTCCACCTCCCTGTGACCTGTGTGACCTCAATCCACCTCCCGTGACCTCTGTGTGACCTCCCAGTCCACCTCCCCGTGACCTCTGTGTGACCTCAGTCCACCTCCCCGTGACCTCTATGTAACCTCAATCCACCTCTACATGATCTCTGTGGGACCTCAGTCCACCTCCCCATGACCTCTGTGACCTCTCAATCCACCTCTCCGTGAACTGTGACCTCAATCTATCTCTAGGTGATCTCTGTGTGACCTCTCAGTCCACCTCCCCATGACCTGTGTGTGAACTCAGTCCACCTCTCCGTGACCTCTATGACCTCTCAGTCTACCTCCCCATGACCTGTGTGTGAACTCAGTCCACCTCTCTGTGACCTCTATGACCTCTCAGTCTACCTGCCCATGACCTCTGTGGGACCTCAGTCCACTTCTCCATGAACTGTGTGACCTCAATCCACCTCTAGATGACCTCTGTGTGACCTCAGTCCACCTCTCCGTGACCTCTGTGACCTGAGTCCACCTTTCTGTGACCTCTGTGTGACCTCAATCCACCTCTAGATGACCTGTGTGACCTCAGTCCACCTCTCTGTGACCTCAGTCCACCTTTTCGTGACCTGTGACCTCAGTCCACCTTTTCGTGACCTCTATGTGACCTCAATCCACCTTTCCATGACCTGTGACCTCTAAGTCCTCCTGTCTGTGACCTCTCAGTCCACTTCTCCGTGACCTCTGTGTGACCTCAGTCCACCTCTCCATGACCTGTGTGTGAGCTCAGTCTACCTCTGTGACTTCTCAGTCCACCTCTATGTGACCTCCCTGTGAGGAGTTTCTGATCTGAGAGAAAAAACAACTTGAATTCCAAGGAATGGACCCCAGTCAAGAAACGGCTCTGGTCAGCGGCCCACTGGCTGGTGAACAACAATGGGCTTGTGTTTTACAAAATGCTCAGGGCATGTGTATCTTGTTTTTACGGCTTTCTGCCTTAACCAATTTTAGCAATTCACCAACTCCCAGTTGCGCATGTCAGGTAGGAGAGTTGCTGCTTCTGTATTTGCTGTTGCTATTCAATTTCTAAGAAACAGTCTATGAAAAAAGCTACAGAACACATACAGCGTGATTCTGAAGATGCATAAAAAATTACATTTTCATCTCTGAGTGTATCTATATTTGTACCTGTACAGTTACTTATGTAAATTCACTAAGAAAAAAATTCAGAAAGATATACATGAAATGACTGTAAGTGGTTAGCTTTAATGAGATGAGCAGGATGAAGTGGTGAGGAGGGTCTTATATTTTATCTATGTATTGCTGGAAAATTGCTTAAGACTTGTATTTATGTACTACTTGTATAGTTGTAAAAAATCTTATTCCAATACACTGCTGACCAAAATTATCAAAACATGAACAAGCGTCTGAAGCGAGTGCTGCGTGGGAGGGGCTCTCCAGATGATCCCTACAGTTTGGCTGGAAGAGCAGCCTCTGCTGAGCACAGGCATCTGATGGGGAGAGCCAGTTCCGGCAACCTCAGACAGGAAAAAGGGTGACACCATAATCTCCATATCCCAGTAAACAAAGCTGCAATCCCTTTCCTTTTAAAAGGGTCCTAGCTCTAATTTCAGCATTATGCAGTCTCAATACCCCACACATTTTACCATCACCCCAAAAACCTAAGGCTTTAATCAACTGTTTAGGGCCAAACAAGCTGGGCACGGTGGCTCACACTTGTAATCCCAGCACTTTGGGAGGCCAAGGTGGGCAGAATATGACGAAACCCTGTCTCTACTAAAAATACAAAAATTAGCCAGGTATGGTGGCATGCACCTGTAATCCCAGCTACTTGAGAGGCTAAGGCAGGAGAATCACTTGAACCCAGGAGGCGGAGGTTGCAGTGAGCTGAGATTGCACCATCGCACTCCAGCCTGGGCAACAAGAGTGAAACTCCATCTCAAAAAAACAAATAAATAAAATAATAGTGGCTCACACTACCATTGCAGGCTCAGCTCTTTGGGAGGCCGAGGTGGGTGGATCAAGATGTCAGGATATCGAGACCATCCTGGCTAACACGGTGAAACCCCATCTCTACTAAAAATATAAAAAATTAGCCGGGCGCGGTGGCGGGTGCCTGTAGTGCCAGCTACTCGGAAGGCTGAGGCAGGAGAATGGTGTGAACCCGGGAGGCGGAGCTTGCAGTGAGCCAAGATGGCACCACTGCACTCCAGCCTGGGCAACAGAGGGAGACTCTGTCTCAAAAAAATAAATAAATAAATAATAAGACCAAACAAACAGTGAGGTCCCAATTGGCAGAAGGGCAGGGGCAGCAGCTGGGTTTCAGTAGCTATGGAAAGCTCAACAATCCCTCGTGCATGACAGCTACTCTTCCATCTATCCATTAACCATGCCTCCACTCACCCACTCGTGTCCATCCATCCATCCACTCATGTGTCCGTCTGTTCACCCACGCACCCACCCAGCTACTGACTGCCTTCTGTGCTGGGAATCAAACACAGGATGCCAAAGAACAGAGCTGAGCTTGGGAAAGCCTGACCAAAGAGGCAAGAAGACGGCAGAAAAAAAGCTCCCATGCCCTCAACCCCTTTCTGACTGTACAGATTTTCTGTCTTGAGGGATGATTTAGAGAGGATGAGTCCCCAGAGAACAACATGTTCTACTGAGACAAAATTCTTAAACCATTTAACCCAGGTGAAATACACAGGTAAGTGCCACAGCAGTTTTATGAACATTAATGATGTCAGAGCAGGGCTGCAGCAGAAGGAACCAGGGGGAACATTGGTCAAAAGCAGTCATTAAGCATGGAGGCAACTCTTTTTATTATTTTTTATTTTTTTACTTTTGAGACGCAGTCTCGCTGTGTCGCCCAGCCTGGAGGGCAGTGGTGCAGTCTCGTCTTACTGCAACCTCAGCCTCCTGGGCTCAAGTGATCCTCCCACCACAGCCTCCCAAGTAGCTGGGACTACAGGCACCCACCACCACCGCTGGCTAATTTTTTGTATTTTTAGTAGAGAAAGGGTTTCACCATGTTGGCCAGTCTGGAACTCCTGACCTCAAGTGATTTGCCATCCGCGGCCTCCCAAAGTGTTGGGATTACAGGCGTGAGCCGCTGCACCTGGCTCGAGTCAATTCTAAAACAATCTCCTCCAATGAAGTGCTCTGGAAACAAATGGACGTTCCCGCTCACCGTTTTTTATTCCATCTGCCCCAAAACGCAACAGTAGTAGGCAAGATTCAAACAGCTGGTGGAGCTATGTCATGTGGCACCTGTGTTTTCAATAATCACATTTTCCGTTAAACTGCTATTTTGTGACTTCCTTTTTTTTTTCCCTTCACTAAAACTAAGTGCACCCTTCTGCATTCATACGGAACCACTCTGAGATTACAATCCTCCGCCTTCTTTTCTCAAATGGAAGTTCTACGACCAACCTGAGGCCGCGGCACTGAACAAGATGAAGAGCCATGTTAAAGTGCAAAAGCCAGGAGGACCCTTAGGCCTGGTCACAGTCCCGGGACATGGTCCACACCTCCCAACCCTCGCACCAGCCTGGAAGCTGTAAGACAGGCCAGGACTTTCCAGACAGGCCAGCACAGGGGTTGAAGAGGTGCTGCCTATAGAATAACCACAAGCTGACCTCTAAGTGAGCCCTCAAACAGAGGCTCTATTTACACCCCTGCATGAGTAGCTTTTTTTTTTTTTTTTTTTTTAAAGGCAGACTCTCACTCTGTCGCCCAGGCTGGAGTGCAGTAATGCGATCTCGGCTCACTACAACCTCTGCCTCCCAATCCAGGGCCTTAGGCGATTCTCATGCCTCAGCCTCCCGAGTAGGTGGGACTACAAGCATACACCACCAAGCCTAGTTAATTTTTGTTTTTTTTTTTTGGAGACGGAGTCTCGCTCTATCACCCAGGCTGGAGTGCAGTGGCCGGATCTCGGCTCACTGCAAGCTCCGCCTCCCGGGTTTACGCCATTCTCCCGCCTCAGCCTCCCGAGTAGCCGGGACTACAGGCGCCCGCCACCTCGCCCGGCTAGTTTTTTTTTGTATTTTTTAGTAGAGACGGGGTTTCACCGTGTTAGCCAGGATGGTCTCGATCTCCTGACCTCGTGATCCGCCCGTCTCGGCCTCCCAAAGTGCTGGGATTACAGGCTTGAGCCACCGCGCCCGGCCAATTTTTGTATTTTTAATACAGATGGGATTTCACCATGTTGGTCAGGCTGGTCTTGAACTCCTGGCCTCAAGTGATCCACCACGCCTAGGTGAATAGCATTTCAGAATAGAAACATCATTGCAGAATAGAATAGCATTTCTGAATCGAAAAAAAGTAATTCCTCTATGTACACAGGAACCTGGCTTTCCTTTCTGACAGATTTATTTTCTTCTCTGCAAAGCCACTTGATAAATCTAATAA